GCGGTGGGGATGGAGGGCAGGAGGTGTGTGGGACACGCAGGACAGGAAAATGAACCAAAGTGGAGGAGGGATGGGAGATAGGAGAAAAAGGAGGGTCTGGACTTGAGCCTGGAGGGGGGGTGGGTTGTAGGGGGCTGACACTGCTCCGCTCTGACACGGGAGACCCTAAAGGAGAAGCATGTGTTGGCCGCAGCGGGGAGGAGGATGCATTTCATTTGGAATGTGTTGAGTTTGGAGGGTTTCAAGAAATCCAGGAGGCAGCCAAAAGTATGTATCTGCGGTATTTTTCTTACTTACCTTATCTTCGATGAATAAATGTGAGCTTTATGATGCTGAGCTCTATTCCTTATGGTCAAACATCAAAAATGCCCCCCAAACGAGCTAAACACTTTCCCACGCTGTGGGCAATACCAACGCTCACGCCTCTTCCTCTAGATTCCCCTCCCCTGCAGCTTCTGATGGGGGGGAGGTAGAATGGGGTCTGCGGGCGGTGGATTTGGGACGCCCTGGATAGTAAAGCCTCTTGCGTGTGTGTTGGTTGCAATAAAAGAGGCTCGTGGTGCCCTATGCCCTATTCTGATGACATCTGAACATCTTCAAGTCCATAAAACACTCTGTGGTTCTGTGAGCCGGACTGGACCCTGGCTTCTTTATATTGCTCTGAGCACATGAGGGAGGCCGCAGAGAGTCCCCTTCTTGAGCCACAACAGTCTGATTTCCCGAGTGGGAAGCCCACTGGGCTCAGTGAAAGGGGAGACAGAGGGGGATCTGGATGCCAACTGACAGGAGCTGGCCCCTCTTCTCTCTTTCTCTCTCTCGCTGCACATCCCTATTCCTTGGCTCTCGTTCGCATGAAAGGCCCCAAACAACGGCAGTGAGCACATCTGATGCCGTCCGTCCCTGGGGCCCCCGCCTCTGCCACAGTGACCAGGGTTTGTAATCTGCTGGGGAAGGAATGCGGGAGGAGGAGGCTGTCCTTAGAGGGCAGGGTCGCCTGCAGGCCCACTGAGTTCAGAAGAACAAGGCTGCTAGCAGCTTCTTCCCCTGGCTGGTGCAAGACGGAATGAGACAGAGGCCAGGGAAAGAAAGGGGAGCTTGTGACCCGCTCTGGTATGTCCACAGGGGCTGGGACCCGGGAGAGACTTGGGCTCTTCTTCAAGGGAAAATAAGGAATTTTAAATGGAAAGGTCACAGTGCAGTCTGTTCGCAGCGTCTGCTGGCGTGCATGCGGGATGGAGCTTCTTGCCAAACCAGAGCGTGGACGTGTTGGCATCAATATCCCCAGAAATTTTAGCACCTTGGAGCTTCCAGAGGCAGAAACGGGGACCTCTTTTCTGTCTGCTGTCTTAGGACAGTAGTGAAGGCTTTGCACACTGAGCCCTGGAACTTAGAGTACCCCGGAGTGCTCGGGAACAGAGCAGGTAGCCACTTTTCTATCTGCTTCCTGAGGGCGAAGGCCTGACCTGTGACCTCTGGTTCACGGGCCATTTTCCCCTCCAGGGAAAGATACTCTCTGTCCCCAGGAAAGCTGGGGCCAGGTGGCATGGGCTTCCAGCCACTTCTTATAAGGAAGCTATTTTTCCTTGGACGTGCCCTGAGCACAACTTTGAAATTCTGGAATGAAAAAAAAAAAGCACAAAAGGGAGTTATCTTTAGCACTGTATGGTTAGCAATGTGTCTGCACGCGCCTACGAGGAAAGCAAGCTGGAGATGACGATGCTCATTTCCAGATAGGCATGAGAACACCATGTGCGTGTGAAGAAGCAAAGGACAGAGGGCCTGGCCAGAGGTCACATGGCTAGGCTGTGGCCAAGAACCCAGACGTCCTGGCTCCTCTCTCTGCTCCTTGTTTAACTGAAGAATATTTCTCCAGCATTTACAGTGTCTTAGGAATTAGGTACGCAGGCAGTTTCTGTCCGCCCTCCATCAGAGTCTATGTGACAGCGAGCACAGGAGTGGAGATGAAAGATCATGGCGTATGGTGTCCAGCTGACAAGGGCTCCCCCTGAGCCCAGCAACATAGCCACCCGAGGTCCCCTCAACTGTCTGAGCCTTGCTTTCCCAATAGGAAGAATGGGGATTATGATCCCTGCGACAGAGGGATGCTCTGAAGATTTTAAAAGGGTTCTTTCCAATGTTGGGTTGGCTTGATGACCTTAGGCAAATTTCATCAGAACTCTTGGAAAAGAAGGTAAATGAATCCCAAACGCCATTTCTAGCAGGTGACCACAGGGTCTCCCAAAAGAGAGAAATCTTTCTTATCCTCCAAATGATGGCACGTTTGACTGGGAAATAAGAGCTTTGCTCTCCCACGGGGCTGCCTGTTAATTCAGTTTGCTCGGCGGTCCGGTCATCTGACTCCAGCCAGTGGAATCTTGGGGTGGAAAAGACAGAACAGAGCCATTCTGGAAAGCCACATCACCGGCAGAAGCCAGTGTCCCAAGTTCCAAGTGTAAATCGTCTTCTAATTAGGAAATAATTATGCCCCCAAATGGGGCCGCATGGATGCAAAGGCATCTCACAAATTGCCGATTAGTTTCATAGCAGCGATGGTATTTAGTGCCACTCCAATTCATGGAAAACTGTGTTGGAAATGGCCCATCTTCAGCTGCTCAAAAAAAAAAGAAAAGAAAAAAAGAAAAGAAAAAGAAAAGGTCGGGGATGAGAAGCTCAGAAGGGGGCGGATGGGGTAGGAGACCAGGGAAACATTTGCCCTTTTTCTTGAGAGTGTGCCGTCATGACAGAGTATGGGGCACGGAGTGACAACGAGGAGGAATTTTGATTTTATTCTGATTGTAATGGAAAGGTCGGGCAGACTCGAGAGCAGGTGAGGGATATGGTCTAATAGATCTCTTTAAAAGATTACCCTGCTCCTTCTGGAGAATGGCTACAGGTGGAGGCAAGAGGAGATGCAGGTGGAGGGGTGGAGGGCTATTATAGTCATCTACGTTGCAGGTGAGGGACCGGGGTAACAGCGGTAGCAGTGGCTCCCAAGTGGACTTTATTTTTTTTAAAGATTTTATTTATTCATTTGAGACAGAGAGGGCACGAGCAGGGGGAGAGGCAGGGCAGAGGGGGAGGGAGAGAGAGATGCGGGCTCCCAGCCGAGCAGGGAGCCTGATGCGAGGCTCGATCCCAGGATCCCAGGATCATGACCTGAGCCGAAGGCAGATGCTTCACCGACTGAGCCCCCCAGGTGCCCCCTGAGTGGACTTTAAAGATCATGCAGACCGAGGTGGCCGATGACCCAGATGTGACGGGGAGAGAGGAGTGAAGAATGACCAGCAGGGTGTTTGGTCTGAGAACTCAGGTCTGCAGCAGCACCGCTTCCTGAGATGGGAATGCTGGGGAGCGTCGGATTTCTGTTGGGGGGAGTGGTCCAGAGTACTTTTCGACATTCTAGAATCTGAATGTAACATCTCTAGGTGGAGATCTAAACTATAGATATGAATACATGAGTTCAGAGTGTATAGAGGAGGTTGGACCCAAATATATAAAACTTAGGGGGTAATCAGTGACTTAGGGTCAAAGGATTGGGTGAGATATGGTAGATGAGGTAGCGAGTGAGGGAAACCAAGAAGAGGTCCCCAGGCCCTCCATGTGTCTGCCCACCCAGCCATCCACTCTTCCAACTAGCTGTTCCTCTGTCCATCCAACAGTGTTTTGTAAATGCTCTTTGGGTCCGAAGCTGGGTGCTGGGATTCAAAGGTGAACAGTTATATAGCCCCTGTCCTGGAAAAGCTCACAGAGAAGGAGAGAGAGCACACATAAAATATAACAAAGCCTGGTAAATTCTCTGATAGACATGTATACATATGGGGCGGGATCATGGAGAAGTCCCCTGTTAATTCTGCCGCTGGGGAGAGTTTACAAAGGCTAAGAAGAGGTGTCATTGAAGATACACCCCAGAGGAGGGTGACCAGGGTCCCAGGAAGAAGGAAGGGCATGTGGGAAGAGAGCTCATGGTGGCTCTGCGGGGGAGGAGCACGAAGACCTTCGGGGCAGAAGTCGTGTGAGGTCCATGGTAGGAGGGAGTGTGCCAGGGACCAGAGGCTTTGTGTGCTGGGCTACGGAATCCGGGCTTTTCCTGTGGGCCACTGTTCTGAGGGTTTTCAAAGGGGACACAGCTGGATTTGGGTTTCCGAAATGTCGCTTGATCTGGGGAAGAGAGTTGTCAAATAAAAATCCAATCTGGATTCAGTAAGGAGAGATTTTATGGACGAAACTTATTTCACGGGGGTGACAGGGACTATTATAATAGGGGAAGAGGCAGCAAGAGTTTTTCTTCCATAGGGAGGAGGACACAAAAGCAGGGAGTCAGGAGGTGAGGTGAAGGGGGCTGGCTTGTGGTTGGACAGGTCAGAGGGTGTGAGGTTAGCCTAGTCCCAGGGCGAGGGTGTGTGCTGGTGTAGGCTGACCGTGTTCGGAAGCCCAGGAGGAGGAGAGAAGCTTACTCGACGTTTGGTCGGCAAGCATATTGTTCTGATCAATCTGTGGGGACAGGAAGTTCAGCTAATCACTTATGAACAAAGGCGGGGAACCTGGAGGGTGTGTGTCTGGCCATGGTGTAGGGAAACAGTGGGGGGTGTCCACGGGTCCTATCAAAGTCATGTGGAAAAGAGCAGTTCTTTGCAGGAAGCAGTTTCCTGGAATTCAGAAGGGAGGGGAAGTCTTGAACCACCACTTTTTTTCCACCCCCCAGAATCACGAGTCACAGAAGCTTGGTGAAGGTCAACATTATCAGGGTCAAGGCTGAGAACGTGGGGAGTGCACAGGAAGACCAGAACCAGGTAAGGGACGCTGGCAAAGCTTGCTGGTAAAATCCAGAAGCTGAGCCACGGATTCTTCGAGATTCAACGATTCCTTCTACACTGCTGTAGGGCACAGAGGGGGAAATCGAGTCATCTGCCCTTTGTACGCATACTAAGCCTGCCCGAAACATTAGTGGTGCGTGCCTACCACAGCAGTAATATGGACAACAAAGACCACGACTCCATGTCTTGTTTTCATATCAATCGGCAGAAATTAGTTTTATTAGAAAAATGAAATTTTCCTGTATTTACATTTTTACACCATAGGACTGGGCACTTTTGTTGCCTTGGGAGTTATGTACACATCAGTTTGCACACACATTTCAAACCCCATTCCTTAAAACAGTTGATAACACGTTGAACAAAAAGAAAAGACATACTACAAGAAGACAACCATAGTATATACTTTCTCTATCATAGAAAGGTGTTAAGCAAACGTGTAATTTTGTAGCTATGCTTGGAAATATTGACTACAGTTATCAGCACTTCCTCATGCAGTGGATTAAAACATGACAGGTAGAAACTGACGTGATTGGTAAGTGAACGTCTGTTCCCCAATGGGGACCACTGAGTAGAGCACCCAGCTTGCTTGGGGTTCCACCATACAAGAGATCAAGCCAGTTCTGAAGTGGGTTTTGGACTGTGTTTGAGTGTGTCACTGTGAATGGGAACCCCTCTGCATATGGAGGTCGATCCTGCCCATGTTGGGTGGAAGGTGGACTCAGACATGGGTCCTCAAAGCTGCTTTATTCCATGACTTCCTGTGGGTAATGACCAGCTTGTGGATTACGTAGGCAATGGGTCTCATAAAGTGACCGAAAGATGAAGAGTTGCCCTCTTTTTGTGTCTGAGAAGGCCACTGTTTGTCTCTGATGATCTGGTTCTTACTCAAACCACCAGTGAGACTTGCCTAATTCTTTCTGAATCTTCAGCTTGAAATATATATACTATACATAAACACATATGCACAAACATTCTATTGTGATCAACTACAGTAAAGTCTACCGACTAAATAATTTGGCAAGTAGATGCTTTTAAGGTGGTTTGAGCAGGGGAATGAACAAGATGAAGATTCGGGGCTCAAGAACAACTGATAAATCTTTGGGGAACCTCAGGCTTGGAAGGCATCTGAGCCACGTCTAGCCACGTAATTCGTGGTATCGAGTAGTTTCCTGAATTTGCTATGAAAATGTTATTCTTGACCTTATCTCTGATTGGGGGAAAAAAAAAAAGGCAATTGGCATCCTTTCCCAGTGAAAAATGTGGGGAACGTGAATGTTACAAGTGCCCCCTTCATCTTTGCAAATCCACCAGAATTTTCAAAGATGATCACCTGAATTTGATGCAGAATAGTCTGAATCTTCAATTTCTAAACTGGAACATTTCCTTAGTGGCCATGGCTTCAGAGCTGTGTCTACAAACCTAATAAACTTAAAGGTTTTTTTTTTTTTTTTAAAGAAAATGGGTTTTAAAAAGTCAATACCGCTCATTTTATTTGACTTAGCTTAACTGAGAATAGAAATAATTCAATAGGTCTTAGATGTAATGTAATGTAAAAACCTCAGTCGAATTTGAAAGGCTATGATTATTTTTCATGGAAAAACTGACAATGTTTTTATATTTCTGGACCTTCACTATTTGCTCAGCTATCGATAGTCTTTGATTTGAGCCCTTTAAAAGCTTGAAACAGCAAAATGTCAGATCAATGAGAAGCATTTAAAATGCCAAAGACAAACTTACGTTTGCTGGAGAACAATTAACCTTATTAATTTAAAAGGCAGCTGTGGTATTGGCTACGTGTTACGTTAATATTCCTTTGAAGGCTCATCTTAAATCCTTCCCAAAAGGTGTGGTAGAGAATTAACTGGGGGAGGTTATGACCCAGGGCTATGGCTAATGAGGAATGTTCTAGACTTGCAGAAATGCAAACTTACTGTTTCATGGACCTGGTACCTAAGAGGGATTGATGAGTGATCATCTCAGTTTTGTCTTCTCTCTGCAATACTGCTGTCACCTTATTTGAGGAAGTTAATCTGAGAAATGACTCCATTGCAAACAGTTTGGTTCTGGCTCCCTGGAGGGCTGTGTGCTTTGAAATACAGCCCCAGAGAAGAAAGCCTACTGGCCAAATGGCTCTTTTGAGTGTTCCAGTTTCCGCACAGCTCAGCATCCCTGGGAGAATGTTGTCACGCACTTGTAGACCCAACGATGGGATCTTAAAATAGGTATTAAATAATGATAACTTTTCTGGCTTAAGAGACTTTTTGCTGCCAGCTTGAAAGGTGTAAACAGCTAGAGAATTTCTCAGGGACAGTGACAAGGGTGCTTTGTTAGATTCACTGACCCTCCAGAAGGACTGAATCGCAGAACCTCCCAGAAAAACATTCCTTCAAATCTGAGCTCTGTTTCCTCACCTACGAAATGGGCCTACTGTGGCCCCAATTCACAGTAAATAGAAATGCCTGGCGGGGGGGGGGTGGCTTAGAACCGGAGTGGTGCAAGAAAGGGGTGCACAGGCTCAGTGTCGCACCCACATCTTCCCCCCATCCCCCAATGCATTACGCACGCCGTCATGTTGGACTCCCAGAAAGCGTCATGGAAACATTCTAATTCAACTCTCATTAGTGAGGCAAACTGATCAAGGTAACAGTAGTTATCTTGGTGCCAGGGACAGCCTCTTGCAAATACCGTGACCTTTCTGAAAATGGGCCACAGTGTTGAGGAGGGCTCTGATGGGGGCCCACAGGGCGGTGTGGGGGCCTGAACACTTGGGAGGGTATATTACTTGCACGTGTTGAATGGAAGGAACCCTGATGTCTACGGAGAAAAAGAAGAGAGATTCGGAAGGGGATATTTAAAATTAGGCACATGCTACAGAGTAACTCCCCAGCAACCAAAAAAGTGAATGCAGAGTGCAAGGGTGTGGGGAGAGACACAAACAGCATTCAAGTGTCAGAAGGGATGTGAACAGAGGTGAGATCCCCAGGAGTTCTCAATACACCCCAAACCAGACGACGAGGGGGTAGGACACTAACAAACCTCCTCCCTGCAGAGGCTGAAGCTCAAGAGAGAGCCCCAGGGGACCTCAGAACAGCATATCTCTCTTTCCGACTTTTATTCTGACCTCCGTGGCAGAGATCAGGCACTTCAAGAATACGCCCAACATGAGGGATTTATTAGCAAACTCCTGTTGCTGATGAGGCTGAGACCAACCTGAGCCTCAGTTTCCCTATCTATAAAATGGGAGCAACCGTACTTCTATCCTATGGTTATTTTGAGGATCTCATTCTAGGATGCACCTAGAATACAGTCTACACTCAATGCGGATCCCTTTCGATACTTCCAAGCTCAGGTGCTGACCCTAGGCGTGCACGGGAGATCAGCAGAGGATCCCACATTCCTGGCAATGCCCAGAGCAGGATGGATGGAGAGAAAAGACACTCCCTCTGCACCCTCCATCTTCCCGAAACACACCTTGACTCCTTCTGCCGTCTCTCTGCCCCATTTTGTCTCTAGGGAACCTGATGCGCTCGCTTTTGTCAGCCACACAGTAGGCACTTGGGACTCAACGAGGAATTCTCCCCACTCCCTTCCCTGATACATTTATACCCTGAACGATCCAAGGTATTCTTCCTAAGACAAAAATAAAATCAAACGAAAAAGCTTTCAGGAAATAGCCTTTTTTTTTTTTTTTTAACATCGCAGTCTGTTTTCTAATCCTTTGGGGGATTCTTTTCCGCCTTTTCTGGAAGCCCACGTCATAAAGCAGGGCTGCAAGGAGGCAGGATCTGGCAAGGGCTGGAGAACCTGGTGGAACCAGATTCAAGCCTCCTGCACACAGATGTGGGAGGGTAAGTCTGGTCACCTGTTTAGATGCTCCTGGGTTTCCCAGGTACTGTCTTTGAATGTTCAAAGAATCAAGGGTATCTCCCCAGGAGCACCAACTATATTCTCCAAGGTTACTTACGGGTCTAGGGAAGGATGGGTTGGTTGGTTGGATCGTGGAAATCAGTGTGATATTTATTTCCTGGCAAGAACCTGATTTATCATTTCTACTTTTTACACTCCGTCTGTGTTTGGGTTTTGTGGGCCTTCGGTGGTCTTTTGTGTTAGGGAGCTGAATTTCTAGAACGAGTATGCTGCTGATGAGAAGAGGGTGTTTTCTATCCCCTTTGCATCTCTCAACCCCAAATCGGCCTTAAAAGGAGAGTAGATACTCGGTCAAGTGCTATCAGCTGATCATTGTCCTTTGTTCATCCTTGGCTCACGAGAAATAGAACTCTATCACCTCAATGATCACCACCGGCTTTCATCTTTGGTTTGAGGTTTTAAACTATATCCCTTGTTGGCTCTTCCCAGGAAATAGGTCCCTGAGAAAAGTTTTCTCTTCTCCAGGATTCTGAGGCAGGGAGTGTTGGTGAGCTTAAGGGACAACCAAATCTAAAGAGGGGGTGTATGGGTCTATATAAGGCAAGAGGGAAAGAAAGCAGGGGCCATTCTGTGAGGTTCTCTGGCTCTTATCCCAGAGGGACCCGGAGAAACTTTTGAGAGAAACCTAGAACTGAGTCAGCCTGGGGAAGGGAACCAGGCGAGGAATTAACTGGACCATGCACGAAGGTCTTGGTTTCTAGATACTGTTGATCCGATGATTCCATACAGATTATGCCCATTCAGGAGCTCAATCTCTTAATTTTCTCATCTCCATTCCTCCAAATCTTGGCATAGTTCTAGAGGTTCTATTTTTCTAAGACCCTTCTGGGCAGGCACCTTTAGCTGATGCTCTATCAAGAGTACTTTTGGGCGCAGAGCAAGTGGGGATAGGGAAGAGGATAAGGAATTTAAACAGGGAATCTGCCCTTCGGTGGGTTCACAGAAATCGCCCGCGTGTCCCTATCAGCATCGTCTTCAGAAGTTAATGTGAGAGGAACATGTATCACACCCCGAACCCCAGATAGCTTTTCTGAAAGGAGGCCAAGAACACCAGCACCCAAATCCCACTTGGGCCCTGCCATCCTCCCTAGAACATAATTTTTTTAAAAAATAAAAACAGTAGCGTCCTCTCTTCCTAAATGTCAGCCCATCGATAACCAGAATGGGTTTCCCACATGTTAATAACCATCACCACGACTTAATTTTTAACATAAACTTTACATTATATACAGTTGTATTTGGATGGCACACTTGCCGTGTGTGGTAGAAATCAAGCATGTATATAGAGTATGTACACGTGTTCACGAGCATTGGTATTGGCAGGAGGAGGGCCTTTTCTCTCCTCCGATGTGTATCAGGTGGCCAACTGCCCTCATCTGCTATGACTCGATGCGAACACAGTACGATGTGAAGGGGTGAGATGGAGAAGCACACCCGCGTGTTGGTGTAGACCCCACCGAACCTCTCACCCAGCACTTCCGACCCTGCTGACCAAAAGAATGCAGGGCATCCGTAAGGTCTAATTTTGTCTCAAGTGAAAATACTGCTTTTGCACTGAAAAGCACTGTCACGTGGAATCCTTAACTCCTATTAAACACCAACCCAATGAGTTGCGTTTCCACGGACTCGGTCCCCCCCGCCACCCCCATCGAACTCCAATTCCGTCCACTCCAGCCGCAGTTCATACAGACGGGCTCTGCTTCAGAAACAACTCCTGTCCCCTTTGCAAGGATTCACATGCGACATCTATGCACAAGCAAACAGGACGGGGATGCGCCTGAAGTTAACACATCTGTTCAGCCCTTCTGAAAGATATTTGGGTTTCTCCAATTCGTGTTTATTTAGGTCTTACACCGTATGGGATTTCAGTGCAAGGTATTTATTTATATGACAACTGATTATTAGAGCTGCACTTTTTAGGTTTAAAGGAGATAAATTTTTAATCACCATTTAATTAACACCAACTCCCCCCCCCTTTTCATTAGCATTTGCAAAGAATTCAGGGCATTTGTCATTTCCTGAGAAGGACGCAGAATATTAAATACACATCAGTGGCAGGCATATCAAACAGAATAAACAATGTGGGACTATATAGCTGCTAGGGATCTTTTGACTAATTAACTGCCTTGGCCAGAGTCCCATTTAAGTGAAACTATTTCGTTTGTAAACAAGGTGTAATTTTCTTGTTTCTCCCTTGAAAATAAGTGTGAGTCAAATGTGACTGATTTTGCTGCAGTGGGTGCATTTTAATGGTCTCCTCAGAGCAGCTGAGTATGAAAAGTTCTCAGGCTCTCTGCAACAGGGGAGAGAAACCAGGTATAATCCCCAAGACCCCCGTCATGGTGCTGGCTGCCATTACGGAGTGAAATTGCAAAGGACGGGAGAGTGGGGAGATCATAATCCTGTACCTCTGGAGGGAGCCTTGCTGGCAGAAAAACAGACCCGTTAGGGAGCTGTCTTCTGGGAGCACTGAAGCCAGAAGTAGTCTGAAACCTGCAGGTGGAAGGACCAGGTAGACTGTGTTCTAGGAACTCCAAGGGCTCCAGGGTAGAATATTCATGCCCCAGAAGACTCTCTTCTTACCCAGACTATTTTAAGTTGGGCATGTGTGTACCGTTACTCATCGACAGAAACGTGAGCACCTGCATTTAGGCATACCCGTTGGGCCCTTCTCAAGTGGAGAAGGCCACTTAGAGTCACTGCGGTACCATTACGGATGCCGGCTCTGGCTTGAGTCAGGTGAAACTCGGGCACGATTCGGGGGCTCAGGCATGCTGGCTCTTTGGCATGAACAGCTCCCAGATCTCAGGCTGGGATGTCACAGGAACCCTCTGTAAGGGATCCAGAGTTGGAGGGCTTTCTTTTATGTCTTTGACCTTCTGCTTCCAAAGAACAGAACTGACTTGAATCACCTTCGAATAGCTCTATGTCATTATCTTTCACTTGGCAGATGGCCTGTCTGATCAGCGGTCAGTTTTCTTATGCTTGGGATCATCACAATTAAGAGTCGATGAATTTGTGGAGGAGGAAAATTATGTATTCATTATAGATAGCATTCCAATGCTCAGTGTTTATTTTTAAAAATGCGTTGGGTATTAAAGGAAGCACGGTACTGTTGGTTCTTCCAAAAGCCCCATTTTTAGTTCAGTTTTTTTTTTTTAATCTAAAGAAGCATAGGGTTAACAGCAGAAATAATGCTGTTGTTAGAAGAAGGGTTTTTGATCTATGGAACAGTTCTGAGTGTAATTTGCGTTCTCCCTGGAGGTCTCTGTCACTTTTGGCAGCCCCCTCTGGGTTTTGAGGACACAGGAGGAAGACAGAAAGCCTCTTTGGATTAATGACATACCACTGCTCTCTGTGCTGGGGAGACTTTTTAATTCATTTCATGTCATGACATGCAGGTCTTGTGGGGGAAATGAGGTGATCCTGGCTGGGGGAATGTAGGTCTGGAAAGCAATGGGAGGGCAAAGGCAGAAAGTTCTAAAAGACAAGACAGCCAGGAGTGTGCCTAAGAGTAGGAATGGAGGTGAGGCCCTTCAGTCTGGGCTTCTCCATTCTTGGGCCTTGGGGCAGCAGAAGTGCAACATCCGAGAAAGAAAATGCAATGTTCAGATACATTTGTCATCAGTGCCTAGCCCTCCCCTTCTGACGGGAAGACCTACTCGCCCATGGCCTCCTCTGCCTCCCCACCGATGATCCCGAAACTTACTGCAACCACTTATCATTACTGGATGCACCTGCCCAAAGATGGAGCCATTCGCTGAATCCTCGAGCTCTAAGAGAATTATTCCTGGCCCCTGCCCGCTCGCAGGAAAACACTGCCTACAGAACAGAACATGCTGTAAGTAAAAGAAACAGGGTGACTTTTCAACCTGCCACTCTGTGCCCTTCTCCAAGAACCCAAAGCAAAATGCAGGAGGAAACCAGGAGAAGGGCAGGCTAGTTTGCTTAGGGTGTTTGCAGCATGTCGCCAGACTCAGCGACTCTACAGGACCAGATGGCTAGTTATCCTAGCTATTTCAGGGTCATTCGTAAAGTTAAAATACACTAAATTAGAGCTATATAAAAATGTTTAATATTGTCTGTGGGTTTTATAATATTTAATTTTTAAACTACAAAATTCTGGTCTGTTATCGCATAACAACTACCTTTGTGTTCTCAGCATGCTCTCGGTGCCAGGCCCTGTGCTGAGAGCTTCCCATGCTGCAGACTCCCCTTCCTCCCCCAGTGGTTTTAAATGAGTCTCATTCCAGGTCACATAGACACAGGTCTGAGTGAAGTAAGAATGAGACAATGCAGGGGGGGGTGACTTGGAAATGACAAATGCTTTGGAGAATTTTTCATAGATTCCCGTTGGTGCTAGTGAAGTGGTTTTGACTCCAAAAGAGCGAAAACTTCAGAAGAGAGCAATCATTTTTGCCACCAAAGGTGACCCACAATTTGGAGGATGCTCAGGGTGGATGCATGAGTGTCTCATGTTTTGAAGGCTTTTGATCTGAGGAGGTTGGGGTGGAAACGAGCACCCAACTGAATTTCATGACGTGAAGGAAGAGAAACGCAACAGGTAGCGCTAGGCTTCAGCAGATGGCTGGCATTGAACTTCTTACAGATCACAGGACACATTTGGCTGCTGGTGGGTGCCACCATGTTAACAGCTCTGGGAATAGCAACACACGTAATTAGATGCCACCCTGGCCTTTCGGGGACGGAACGAGTTATGGTCAGTCTGGGAGGGAAGAAGGGGTAACAGATACTATACAACCCTGAGTCGTCACCAGAAGGGGGGGAGACGCAAACTTACGTACACAGGAGTCTTCAGGATAAACTACAACAGCCGCTGTGTCAGAGACAGGAGATCCACAAATTAGATATCAGAGACATGGGTGTGTTTGTGCAGCTCTGAACAAGACCATCGAAGCCAAGGGTGAGAGAGTGTTCTGTGAGACGCACAAGCTGACATCCAAAGAGATGCTCAGAGCTCTCCGCCTGAGGGCCCTTCTGGCTCCTTACTCCAGATGTGTCTTGGAAATGGACTCTCATGAAGGTAGCATAGTGACTGTGAACACACGGATTTGCTCTTCTTTGGGGGGGGAGCCTGGAGTTCTGGGGTTGGGCCTGGGCAGTGATGGGAGGCATAACATGAAGGCTGAAAACGGGTACGAGGCCAAACTTCCTAATCTCTTGCACGTCAATCTCGCTACAGTGCAGATGCATTCGTAACTGTTTTGTCTGAGTCAGGGGTACATGCATACCATATTGCTTATTTGGAATGAGAGAGACCGCTAGGCATTTCTGATGAGGGGAGCACATGGTGGACCGGTCTTAATGGAATTTGGAATACAGGAAATCATAGCATCACCATCAGCATCCAACGCATTCTCATTGCCAACATACCTAGTGGGCGTGTCTGGGAGACTTGCCCTTGTGTGTGTTTGTGTTTTTGGTTCAGGACTCACCTATCTGGTATCTGCCATGCTCAGCACGCACCTCACAAGATTCCTTAAGTGGAAGACTATGGCATGGAGCCATGTGCAAAAGAACCAGCAAAAAAAAATACCTTCCTAAATCCTCTTCCTCTTGGCAGGGCACCATCGGACATCCGACATTTACCCTCCAGCACATCGGCCAGTTACGTATGTTTCCCTATAGATAAAACATTAATGGAAGGTTTTAAACATCAGATTCAATACTAGGCATTTTCTTGTACACACGTCTATTGCTGCAGGAATTCAAAACCCTGGGGGTAGAGTACATACTGTTCTTATTTGCAGCATAAGGCATAACATGCTCCGAAATGTACACGTCGTTGTGGCCTCGACTGTCCCTGGAGCAGTACGATGCTGTTGACCTCAAGGACGATCGAAGGTAGCTGTCGTTCACGGCCTGGGACGGCAGCGAGTGTTTGTAAGGGTCTGAGGGGCATCTCCCGATGACTAAGCGTCGGTCGTCCCCATAGCAACGGAGGAAAGGGTTATCGGAGGTGTGGTCCGGCAAGAGGGACTTGCTCCGCTTGCTGTCCTCCAGACCCTGGGGGAAGAGGGCGCTCTTGTTCCCCGAGAGTTTGCTGGAGGGGACGCTAAAGAGACTCCCATACAAATTTCCCTCCAGAAGCCGTTCCCGGTCCTTGAGGCTGATGCTCCTGGAGGGCCTGCTGAGGTCTGTCTCCCTGGGCTTGTCGACAATGTTATCGTAGGAGTGCTGACGGCTGATCCTGAGCTTGTTCTTCTGGAACTGGAGGGTGCTGTTCTGCGCCCAGTCCTGCTGGTAGACCTCCTCCTGGGCGGCCGGGCTCCCCGTCTCCTGGAGCATCTGGTCTTCGTCAATGTCATAGAGGTTGCCCATCCGCAGGCAGGCGTCGCACTTGAAGGGGGACCGCACGGTGAAGTGGCCCGAATAGGTGGGCAGGTTGGACAGGCAGCTCCGGCAGTGTGTGGAGTTCTGCCGGTACCGGTCGCTGCCCTCGCTGTGAGGGGAGCTCTTGTCTTTCAGGGTGAAGTGCTTGGCGTAGAATTTATGTTTGTCATTGTTGGGGAGCGCATCCTCATTGTGCAGGGGGTTCCTGTTTGCGGGCAGTGTGGGGTCGCCCTTGCGGAAATTTTCGCTGGGGTCCTGGTAGGTGTCTGGGAAGTCCACGTTCTCGGGCAGGGCCATGTTTTCAACAAACTGGGGCGGGTCCAGGTGGAAACTAGGTTCCTTCTCGCCATCGATGGTGTAGATCTTGTCCCTGGGGGAGCTCGCTTTGGTTTTTAGATAGGAGCGCTCGACCTCGCTGCAGTCCTTGGGGTATTTGGAGGCCACGGACCTTTTGAAGTTGTCCTTGGTCTTGTGGTTCTTACTGTTGTCGGGCTCCCTGTGGCACGTGGCCCGACTCGAAGTTTCTGAGATGTCCGAGTGGGCCACCTCTTCCGGAAGGTACCGGGGACTCTTCAGGGAGTGGGTCCTATTCTCCACCACTCCCTCATCCCTCTGGGACACTGGGTTCTGGCTCAGTGAATCTTGGCGCAGCGATTCCATGGATTTCTTCCAAAGCTGCCGGGGCCTGGAGTTCGCTTTGGACTCTGTGCTCACGGCCACCTCCACCGTGTTGGGGTTGGACTCATTGAGAGTAAGTGGGTGCTGTCCCTGGAACACGTAGTTATTGAGGTTGTCCTTGTGCCTGTTGGCCACGAATGTCTGCAGCTCATTCATGTTGTCCCCAAAAATGTTGTCTTTCCCCTGAAAGGATCTGTTGTCTGAATAGATCAAATTTCCCTTATCAGAAACCATGTCCATGATGAGGGAACCTCTTTGGATTAAGTCAGCAGCCCTTTTGGGGGAATCCATTCTTGAGGAGTTCACGTTGGACACGTCGGAGATGTTTTTGGCTGACCGGAGGAGTTTTAACATATTGCTCTGGGATCCGGTCAGGTTGAAGTCCGGAGACTTCTTCTTCTCCTCGATGTGCACTCCATGGATGCAGCTGTAAATGCCCTGTGGGAACGAACACGAGACACGGTCAGCAGCAGCAGGAACACGAAACAACCGCACACCCGGCCTTCACCTGCAAAGGCGGGATGTGTCCTTCTTGGAGGAGCTTTGGAGGGGATCTTGAAGTCCAATCTGAATCCTGGGAATGTTTCTTAAATCTATGAGACCAGTAAGCGCCCAGCTTCTCTTGTCTCTCTGGCTCAAGCTTATCCCAACACTTTACCGAACAGTTACATGTGGAGTCTGAGAAAAGGCATCGACTAATGCTCATGTATCTTATAAAGTTCTTGGTGCCTCCAAATTAGCACGGAAGGATATTGAATTGATACCTGGGGCACTAGCTCATCTTTTGCTGTAGTTTACCAGGATCATCTTTGGAGTCTGGATACCAGAGTGAGAAAACCCTTTCCGGTTACTCTAAGGCTGGGCATAAAAATCCATGGGTGATCACTCAGACATTTTGGGGAAGGAAAGATAGAGAAGCTGGGCTAGAAGGAGCAGTTGCAGGGGACTAGTCTTGCCACCATGTGGGGATGTTAGCCTGAGAGTGAAACCATCATAGAAAAGAGCAGAGCACAGGGGATGGAGAGACAGGGCATGCTTTGAACTCCTGGGGCCACCACTTGAGACTTTTCATAGATGCCACTGAATATATCCTTTTGTGTGTGTGTGAGTGAGTGTGTTTGACACAGAGTTGGGTGCTAGCCATTAGGAACAGTGGAGCATCCCGAGGACACTGTAATGCAGCACTGAAATCCACCCAAGGACGGAGTGACTTTGGGACTTCTGGGTGGCTCAGACATAAGTACCCCCAACTGTGGGTCCCTTGTTTTCCATGCTGCCTTGTTCCTTTCTTAAAGATAGCTGTTTACTTTTACTTCAAAGTAACTCAAGAGCTCTTACTTCATGGTGCAATTGTAGGCAAGGCGACTTTGGGGGGGGGGACATTGTGATTTGTGTCCCTCTTTCCCCACTGCTGGCCCCAGATTTTGGCAGCCGTACCTAACAGGGATGATCAGAACAAGGCCCTCCCAGGACGGACAGGGAGCCAGCCCAAGAAGGGGTCTGTAAGGCAAACGTGGAGGCCGCTGCTGACTGGGGCGTGAACTGGTGGAAAGGGTGCGTGGTTAGTTGTGGACTCTGCTGACCATGGCCCCGCCGGCCCACCTTCCCCCCCACCGCCTCCCCGGCATTTTTCTAGAGAGTCTGCACTCCGCCTTCCAGGAACGGTACACGGGGAAGGCACAGTAGTGAGTCTGAGCATCTTTCTCTCACCCTTTCCCCCCCAACCCCGGGTTGCATGGCTTGGGCTCCCTAAAACCTGGCATCGTGCCCTTTCCCACCTTCCTGCAGCCTGGTCCTCTGTCCCCTCTGTGCGGTGTGTGGGTCCTGCTCACCCGCTGCCTGGAAGGAGGGTCCCCTCTGCCTGCTTCCACGGCTGCTGGGCATGGCAGTCACACCAATGCACCGTGGGTTTCACATAGCACAGAGCTTCTGGACCTTGTATGTGAACCCGTGCCCTCCCCGCCCAGCTCAGGAACAGAGCAATCCTACACCCTGACCTAGGGAGGCTCGGCCACTGTGGGTGAGAACCAGTGTGTCTCCTGTGGGTTTGGGTCAGACGAGATCTGTGCTTTTTCTTCCTTTGGTTAGTATTATAAAAATAGTTTAATTTTTTTTTTCTGAATCTGTAATTTTGTTCTAATGAGCTCCCATCACCCTGCTAGAGCTTTTGAAAACCTCCCTCCACCCCTTCATGGGTCAGGTCAGTATGCTCCCACAGGCCAAGATGAGCTGGCTGTCCATGTGGGGGAGGCCCACAGAAGTGGTCAGGGAGCTGAGTTATGTCTCAGGAATGGGGTGGCTGGTCACTGACTGCTTTCTCTCATCCCTGGCTTCCCCTGGGACTCACAGGCTGCAGCTCAGGCAGCTCCCAGGTGCTGATGTGCCTGGTGAAGCCTCGGGAAGGAGTCCACGTGATGGACCCAGCCCGTCCCCCAGGCCTGGGTGGCAGCATTCTCCTACAAAGTTAACCCATCTTCTTGGTGGGCTGCCGAGGAGAGGGGTGCATGGCAGAGAAACATGGAACCTGCAGGAAGTGAGTCCCAGCTCCATCTGTCATTAGCTCTGTGACCTTGGATAAGCCGCTAAGCTTTTTGAGCCTCAGTTTCCACACCTGCAAAGTGGGAACCACACACTCTCAAGGTGGGTAGACGGCAGGATAAAAGGGTGCAAACAAAGCCCCAGATAGAGCAGAGGCTCCAGAAACATGAGCCAGATGAGCTGCGCCGTCGGTCATCCCCGATGTGCCCTACTTCGCTGCCCCCTCCCCTCCGCCCCCACACTAGCGCGAGCACCTGGCACCCATGGTCCCAAAGCTGCAGGAAAGCGCAGGCTGCCCCTTACTACTGAAGGTTCGCTCTGGTTAGGGAGCAGCCCAGACCTTCCCTCAGCAGCAGGCCCTGGGCCGCAGAGCTCTTGTTACTTGGAGATTCAGGCTCCATCCTTCAGGTGATGGAATGAGATGCCTTCTTGGCCCCACCGGGGCCCAGACGAGAGCCGCACTGATGAGAGTGTGAAGCTCTGGACAGTCCACTCTGCTCCCCTCGAGGGCCCTGACTCTCAGAACATTCTCGATGGGGCGTGGGCTCTCCTGCCCTCCATGGTTCCCTGCAGTTTGTCTGGACCTGACCCCTGAAGCATCTGCTAAGGCCTAAACGTTTGTACCCTCCCCCAAAGTCACATTGAGATCCTAACCCTAAAAGTTGGTGGTGTGAGGACGTGGGGCCTTGGGGAGGGGATGAGGTCCTGAGGGTGGGGCGCTTGTGAGTGGGATTAGTGCCCTTAGAAGGGAAACCCCACAGAGCCCCCTCGCCCCCTTCCACCTCGTGAGGACACAAGGAGAAGTCTGTAGCTCATGTCCTATGAGCCCACCGGGCAGGCCACGCAGTTGCCATCCCCCTGACATCTGTCTTTCCTGGCATGTATGCATGAATGTGCCCATAAGACACATTCTCTGCCCAGACCCCCTGACCTCTCCCATTCCTCATGACTGAAAACCGAGGCAGTTATTTTTGCTGGTGACAGTGAATGTTCTCTTCTATGTGAGAGGGGGAGCATTTTGGAGAGAAAAATTAAGAGCCCCCCTCAGACCAGAGGGCACATTTTTTTTAAGTCGAAAAAGGCAAAGGCCAAGGCTGTGGGAGAAAGTGGGTTCTAATGACTTCTTCGAGCCCTGGCCGTCCCCTTTGGCAGGGCCAAGAGCACCCATAGGTTCGGTCTGTATTTTGTTGCATGATCCAGGAGCTTCCCAAGGGACATCTAGCCCATGGGGAGGGCTGCATATGTCTGCTGTGTGGCAATAGCTAGGTCCACAGCCTGGGTGTTGAAGCTGCCGCAAGAGCTGGTTAATGGAGAGACCTGGCTGATGGGCAGGAAAGAACGTGCCTCGGGGGCAAGCACATTTCAGAGGCAGCCTGGATCTACATCCCCTGGAAAGGAACCAACACTAGGAAATGGGCTGAAGCATGTGACCCAGCCCTGCACACGTGACAGGCTTCCTCTTTCCTGCCTTTTTCTGGCATGATCCATGAAGTAGGAAGAACCTTGTAGTTTGAAGGACATTTAAGGTGAAGCCAAAAGGGTCCCATTCCAACCACTGGAGCCCCAGTTTCTCCATATCCACAGGACGGGTGTGATCATAGCAAACTCACGGGGGTTGTAAGAGAGGATGGAGGAAACCTATCTGGCCCAGCCCTTATTCACACACGACCATAATTCATTGTGGGGTTGTGGTCTTGCCTTTGTAGGAAGGTGGGTTCTTGGGCTTGGAAATTCCCCACTGCAGGTTTGTTAAAAAAATTATTATGTGTGCACAACGAAGACATTTTTGTCTGTGTTCTCTGCTCTGTGTAAGGAATATACACGTAAGGTGGCATATGCATGAATGTACCCATAAGACAAGCTTTAGAGCTATGTGTTAGCCCTTGATGAGAAAGGGAGAACATTTTTTTTTTTTTAGCAATCCAGAAGCCCTGCTATGGATAGCATCAGGGGCTCAGCCCCTTCTGAGTTCCCCTAACAAATAAGAGAGGCAGGAAAGTATATTAAATATGAAACCCTTCTATTCATGCATATCAGTCTGCACTTATTTTAAAAAACAGATATTATCTGGGGAGAAGGAAGGTCAGTGTTGAAAGTAGGGCTCCCTGCAGCCTTTAAGGACACAGGAGTGATGGTGGTTGGGAGTCCCCAAAGGGGCATGGAAGTCCTTGCAGTGCTATGAGACACAGGGTCCTCTCTCCCCTAGGGAGGGAAGACTGAGTTCAGATTCCAGGATGCCTGGCTCCTGTGTGCCCCATCCCCCTCCAATTCTGTCCCTCAAGATGCTTGGAAGGGAAATGGGGATTTAGTTCATTTCTCATAATGACAATCCTCTCCACTCGGCTTCCCTAACGGGATCTCAGAGGAAATGCTCTTCCCGATACAGGCAGGATTTACAAGGAAAAGCAACAGTGTGCATTTGCTCATGATAATCCCAGAGTCATTTGGATATGGAAAGCCTTCAGTAACTGGTGGAGAGAATTAGCTTAAAGTTGGCATAATACCTAGCTATATGCATAGCTATGTATGTTATTTTTAAGCAGTCTGTGTGTTTAGATGCCATCAAGTTAATTAGGAAATATGTATTTGCACAGAATGCAAGTTAAGAGTGCCACTGAACAGAAAAAATAAATCCTCCCCACTAAGCTAATGTGTGCCTTCTGAATCTCCCAAGTGCTTAAAATCACCAAATGCTAAGAATATACAAATTCCTTTAAAAATGATTATTTTGTTTTCCCAATAACCATTAGCATATAAAACCACACCAAATGTTTTTCATTAAATTCTTCTAGAGTGAAAACATTCCATGGTGAGTAAATGGGAGAAATAGATAGATAAATAGATGGACAGATGGATGAATGGATGGAAGGATGGATGGATGAAATAGGTGGATGGATGGATAGATGGGTGGGTGGAATGGATGGATGGATGGATGGGATGAATGGATGGATGGATGGATGGATGGATGAAAT